TTAGGTTTCTGCCCCCTTGGATGGAACAACCTACTCATGAGATAAATGAATTATTGGTAAATGTTTAATGGACTATTTAAGAATAAATGCAACAGAAGCCAGTTTGCTTTGGACTCTTGCATGAACCTTGCTTTACCATTCAGTGTCCTGCACAGCCTCAGGACTACCAGTAAGAAGGCCATCACCAGATGCAACCCCCCCAAATCCTGAACCCAAACTGTTAGCTGAAAAACCTCTTATTGTTAATAACTTAATGTGTGATATTTTTATTTTCTATCAAAAATACACAAAAGTCAGAGGTTTCCTTCTCGTGGTAACTACTGGGGAAAATGAGAGTGAGCCTTGTATCTAGGAGAACCTTCTTAGCAGAAGCCATAGCAAGCCTATGGTGCCAACACCAGGGCTCACTCCACATGTGAGGACCAGGGACCTAGTGAGCCATGCAGACCTGCAGGAATGAGGCCAGGGAATAGCAGAGAGCCTGGACTGTAAAGCGTGGGTTCAAGTAAGGGACTTTGATTCTGTTGTAAGGGTGAGATGTGGGGTAGGGGAAGCCCTAGAAGGACAGAGCCAGAGCCTGACCTGACCATCTCAAGGGACCCTCGGAAATCACTGCCTTGACCTAGGAGTCAAGGACATGAATATCACCCTTGTAAGGATACATAAAAAGTGACTCGGGCTTGGGGAGTTAGCTCAGTGGTAGAAGGCCCTGGGTTCAGTCCTCAGCTCCAGAAAAAAAAAAAAAAAAGTGACTCAATCTGTTCCCTGTGTTGTATTTCATTAGAACATTTATGTCACCTTTAAATTGACTTTTTAATTGTGGAAATTTTTGATCATACTCAAAGAATAGAATAATCTAGTGAACTTCATGCATCCATCACCAAAGTTCAGTTCTTGGCAGCAGAGGGACTAATTGTGTTCTGTATACACCTCCTCCTGCTCAACCAGAGCACAGTCCTAGTATATATCTGTGAAAGCGTCAAGCAACATATTCTCGTTTGTCATGCCCAAAACACTTTTTGAGGTTTAGGGGCATAGGGAGATTGTTTATGTTAGTTTCCTGTCATGACATAATAACCGGGGGCAGGAGGACTTAGAAAAAGAAAATTTTATTTTGGCAATGTAAGGTTTTACAAGTTTGAAGTCCACGGTGGCTTGACTCTGTTTTTTCAGGGGATAGAGTGAACATCATGACAGGGTATGCATGGTTCAATCCAGCTGCTCACCTCAACGTGACCAGGCAGCTAAGAAGCAGAGACCAAGGCTCTGATGTCATCTTTGTCATAGTTTATCAATTTGACACACCTGGGAAGAGGGCCCCTCAACTGAAGAGTTACCTCCATCAGCTTGACTTAAGTGCATATCTGTGTGCTATTTTCTTAATTGGTAATTGATGTAGAAGGGCCCAGCCCACTGTGGGTGATACATCCCTGGGCTGGTAGGCCTGGGTTGTATTAAAATAACTAACTGAGCAAGCCAGTAAATAAGCAGCATTCCTCCATGGTTTCTGCTTCAGTTCCTACCTCTAGAACAGTGGTTTTCTGCCTTCCTAATGCTGTGACCCTTTAATACCATTCCTCATGTTGTGGGGACCCCCAACCATAAGAGTATTTTGTTGCTACTCCGTAACTGTAATTTTGCTACTGTTAGGAATCATAATGTAAGTATCTAATAGGCGACCCCTGTTAAAAGGTAGTTCAACACCCTCCCTCCCAAAGGTGTTGTAACCCGCAGGTTGAGAATGGCTGCTGTAAGCTCTTGCCTTCTTTTCCTTTGATGATGATGATTGTAACCTGTATGACATAAAAACCCTTCCCTCCCCAAGTTGCTTTTCCTTAGAGTGTTTCTTCATAGCAATGGAGAAGCAAATACATCCTTCAAGGGTGGTACCATATCCCAGAGGTACTGAGGCTGGCGACAAAGCATTTAATACATGGGCCCTTGGAAGACATTTAAGATTCAATGACCACTTAATGTCATCCAGTATCCAGTTAATGATAACTCAGGGTTGTACTTCGGTCCTCTGATTCTCAGAAGCCATGAACCTCCATATCATATTGTAGTTGTGTATGTATTGCACTGAGGTCAAGGAGGATGCAAGTATAATAGTGTGCAGGATGTACCAGAACAAAAACAGCAACCTACTTGTTAGCATTTTCATTTATAAAACCAGGATCATGTTAGGATGACATCAGATGCCAGGAGCACAAGCCAGAATGGTGCTCAGCTCCAGCAGGGCTTGGAATGGTTGGTTGTAGTTGAAGCAGACACAAGGCCTCTTCCAGAGTGATGGAAGTGTTCTGTGGCTTAAACTGTGTGATGGCTTACATATCTAGAAGTTTAAGATTTATCCATGGCGCTCTACAATCTGTACCTTCAAAAAACAGAGGAAGAATTCCCGTGAATGGCCTTGAAAGAATGCATGTCTGGGACATGAGGAAGGTTTCAACTCTCAGCAACTTGCTCTAGCTTAGCAGAATAGCATTGACTAATGCAAAGGCAGGCTACCCCAGGTGAGAGAGGGACAAAGAGACTACACAGAAAGCAGACCTCATCACAGTTGAACAAACCCAGAGAGAGGGAAATGGTCAGACAGGGCTGGGGGCCCATAGGCAGGGTCTTCCCATTCCCATTTCATGGCACAGAAAATGGACTCCAGAGCTCTCCCACTCCACCCTATACAGGAGGACAGCATCTAAAGCTGGCATGGCACTGAGAGGCAGTGGGTTTGCTCAGAGGCCTTTGGGGAGCCTCAGGGAAGAATGTGGGGAAGGGTGCTGAAGAGAACAGCAGCTGGTCAGTGTTCCACTCCCATGATCCTTTTTATGGAATGAGCCGGAGATGCTACCCTTACAGTCCAGCCATCTGAAGTATTCCTGGGTGGGTCTGCAGTTGGCAGCCCATTATCCATTTTCCATCCAAGGATGATACAAAGGTAAGAGCCCAGGCTGAGTGAGAAAGGCAGCCTTACCCTTGCATCTGCTGGGCACTGAGATCTTGTGATGGCCTTGAAGCCTGATAATTGCCATCACAGTATCAGGTTCGTCATTGTGGTGGTGTAGGAAGGAAAGACTTGGGTCCCTCTGAGTTTTTTGAAAAGCTAATAAAACTTTGGTGGATATTGCAAATCCAAACTGTAACACAGTATCAGTTTATTATTTTATAGATGGAATGTACATACTTTTGCATTGTCTTACATATGTTCACTCTTTCTGTCTATAAAAATTTAAATGTATAGACAGCCTAATGTTTTTCTCCCATATTGTGCTGTGATCCTGACTTTGAGAGCCAAGGCTCTGGAGTTCTTAAGCATCTAGTCTTAGATCCAATCTACACAATGCTTTTGGTTCCCCCCCTTCTTGCTCCTTCTCTAGAGCTTCTGGGTGAGTCTTTTTTCTTATAACCATAAAACCCAGAAATGCAGCTATGACATGACAGCAAAGGCAGAGTGCATAAAGTAGATCACCACTAGATTTGATCAAAAACACATAAATAATTACTAACCCCAAGAGATAAGAAGTTTTTAAGGGTCTATAGAGAAATTGCATATGAGTAACTTCAGAAAAAGCCAGGCAAAGGACATAAATAATAGTTCCCAAAAGAGGAATAAGAGATAAATGATAGATGAAAAGTGTGGCATTACTAGTGATCAATAATGAAAGTTAAAACAGTGGAATTTTGTTTCAGGTTCATGAGACACTAAAAAGTATGATACCCATTAATAATGACTCCTACATGGAACTGGTAGAGAAACCATGGCAACCATTCTGGATAGTGAGTTCACAGCAGATAATAAACCTGCTTTACTTTGTCCACAGAAATAACTGGAGTGAGTGCAAACATCTGCTTCCTGCAACATTTTCGTATTAAGTGATGTAAATTGGTGTGGAATGCAGAACTACCTATGTGCTGAACTACAGCAGATAAACAGTGGTACATTCATAAATGGAAAACCATAGGATCATTAAAATGGAGCTGTAGGGTTGTGAGTATAACTCAGTTATAGAGTTGCCTAGTATATGTGAGGCCCTGGTTTTGATCCCCAGGACCAGATAATAACTACATTTAAGTAAGTTTAAAAGAGGAGCTGTTGATTGATATTTAAGGGTATGAGAAGATATTCAGTGCATAATTTGACTAGGTAAGCCACAGAAGTTTGATCTCTTTTTTTTTTTTGCATAAACACAAAAATTACACACCAAAATGTTAACAGTTGTTCAAAATGGAAGTACATTCATGATTTTTTTTATTATTTTTGATGATCTGTTTTCTTAGCCTTTTCAAATGAATATACATTTTGTTTATAAGAATGATAATATTATATAAAAAATGAGTCATTGGGGCTGAAGAAATGGCTGCATGGGTGGGAACACTTACTGTAATGAATTCAAAGCCCCAGGGCCCACATAAAACAAAGCCAGGCATGAGGACAGCTGGGGCTTGCTGTGTGCCAGCCTTAATCTAGATTCAGGGAAAGACTTTGTCTCAAGAGAATAAGGCAGAAAGAGACAGCAGGACATCAGTGTCTTCCACTCGTCTTTACATCTGTACATGGGGGATATGCATCTGCACACACGTGCAAAATGAAAAGATGCATTTTTTAATTAAAAAAATCATTTTTTATATTTTATGTATGAGTGCTCTGCATGTTTACCTGCATGCCAGAAGAGGGCATCAGATCCTGTTATGGATGGTTGCAAACCACCGTATGGTTGCTGGGAATTGAACTCAGGACCTCTAGAAGAGCAGCCAGTGCTCTTAACCACTGAGCCATGTCTGCAGCCTGTTGGTTATGCCGTGGCGCTGCCCCTCGTGGCTGGTCGCCGCCCACGGCGGCCATGCCGGCGGAGGAGCATGCTGATTAAAAGAATCATAGCCATGGTTACCTTTTTAGAACTTTATGGGGGGGCACAGAGAGAGAGAGAGAGAGAGAGAGGTGGGGGGGAGGGAGAGAGGGGGACTGACGGGGGGAAGGAGCGGAAAGGAGAGGGGACAGAGAGCCCACAGAGGGCCCACCCGCTTTTTAGGCTGGGAAGCCAGCGAAGGCTGATGACGTAATTAAGGACGTAAATAAGGACCAAATCCTTACACAGCCCAGTGCAATTTTTTATAAAAGAGTTGTTATTAGGAAAAGTGGTCAAGGTTAAGGAAGAGAAATAGTTTATCTCTGTGTTGATTTCAATCACATTTTGTCGCTTCCAACATTATGGTGCTAAGAGGGATTATGATGTTAAGAGCAGGATCAGATATTATGTGCTGTGATCCACTAGTAATGTCTGCAGGGGTTGTAGGAAGCAGTAGTAGCCATCTTGATCTAATTCCCACCGGCCATGAAAGTGAGGTGCTAGGTTTACTGTTGCCCTGTGTGCTTGGTTGCTTTTGACTGGAGAAAGGCATAGCACGACTTGGGCTTTTTATGCACAGTCTCATGCAAACCCCAGGGAGAAATGCCTCTAGTGATAGGCTGTCAAGTCACCCCAGAGAATGTCACATATTATGACAGACCACCCTTTGCCTCAACACACATACAGACTTGTGTCTCTCTTGTAAGGATAATGCAATTTTCCCAAGTTCCTGCCCTGAGAAAATTCCTCCCAGAGTCCTGGGAAAGACACAACATATGGTGAGGGGTACCTGAGGGAAAAGAATCTACTTACACTATGTTCTTTTGTCTGTTAACTTTATTCCTTTATGACAAAACTCTATCTATACAGCTTTAGTTCTGTCCTGAGTCTCAGTTTCTCTTTGTACCTACTTTTCCTGTCCCCTCATAGCCCTGGTAATAACTAAGTCCTTATGCTTTTGGTCTCATCTTCGTCCTCTGTTCCTTCATCCTTCATCTATCCTTCCTGGCTCCTTACCCCTGGCCCTGATAAACTCTACCAGAGATCTGCTTTACCCTCTACAGAATCTCTCTGTCTTCCTCTCCTCTCTCTGGCCATGCAATTCTATGTCTGCCTCTGGAATTCCCTTCAGTCCATACTGCACCTGGTTATGCAAAAAGCCCTATTGTCCTCAGTCAATCTCTCTGCCATGCCCCTAGGTTTGAAGGAAGGGGATGGTCTGAGCTTCATTTGCACAAGAAGCAAAGCTATACATGGACAGCCTGCTTGTCTCCTAGGCTCAGCAGGGGAGTTAGTTACCTAGGGGTTAAGCAGAACTGTTTGCCAAATGGTCTGGGAGTATTTGGGTATGCAAGAATTTCATAGCAGAAGACAGCTGAAATATTAAGGCTGTATAACACCAAATATTTTATGATAAATGGCTTCCCATTTGATGGCCCCTTGGCTGGTCAAAGTATAGCTTTAATACGCAGCTGATATATTCTATAATATAGTCTTGCAGCCCGCAAGACTCTTGTACCTTAAGTGACAGTCAGAAGGTACTAGATATGAGGATTTATGATTATTTAGTTTCTCTCCCCCCATCTTTTTTATTTTATGTAGAAAGAAACTAAGCTCAAGACATTTAGCAAGTTTAAACTTTACAGGGGAAATCTGTTTCTTCCATAATTCAAGAATATTCTATCAGTGTTGAGGCACTGAGGTAGCTACATGCTCAGAGCAAGGACCAGCACCTCCCACAGCCCCATCCATCCCCTGTGCTAGAAACACGCCCTGCTGAGTCATAGCTTCCCCACCAATTAAGTGGGGATATGGCCACCTGCTCTGCCTATTCCCTGGGATTGTGGCAAGGCTCAAAAAAGATCAGAGACAAATGAGGAAAGCATTGGCAACACACACAAGATTACTAAAACCTTTGACATATGAAAGTTCCTAAAATAGAAAAAAAAAAAATACGTGAGAAAGGACAAGGGGTATGAAGATGAGAACTGTGAGTGGCCAGAAAGACGTCCAACTTCACAGGGAAGCCACAGCCATGACACCTCAACAATACAGTTGCCCAAACGAAACCTGAACAATGACAGTGAACATGCTGACTCGGAAGGGGGACATCTCACAGTGTCCCACCCCTAGACAGAGAATTACAGGCAACTAATGAGTGACATTGAAAGTGGGAGAATTAGTCTCTCCCAGAGCTGAGCCCCTTAGTTGGCTATTGAATGCAAAGTGGCTAGCCTTGGAAACATATGCACACAAGCAACACCAAATGGACTTAGTGGGTTGTGTATATGTACTTATATATGTAACAATAATGAAGAAAAAGACGCCATCAGTTTGAGATAGAGGTAGACGTGGGAGGGGTTGATGGAGGAAAGGAAAGTGGGGAAAGTGATATCATTGGATTTTAATTAAAATTTAAACTTTTAAATAATAAAATCTTGAAAAAAGAAAAGATGCAAATAAAATTTGAGAGATTTTGCCACTTCACAGAGACCTAGTTGCTGCCAGATTTTTTTTCGGTGTGGTTGGATAATCTTGGATTCTGTCTTTTCCTCCTCATACCCCTCAATCCTGCTCTGAACTCCGGCTGGGAGACCCCTTAGGTTCCATCTTGGGAGAATGGAAGAAAGAATCTGTCTCCAGTTGGCTCCTGTGTATGATGGCCTCTGCCAGGTAGCCTGTCTCTACCGACTGACACTTTCTACTGACATCCGTGCCCTGGGGCCCCCAGATTCTTGGAACTACTGTGTAAATCCCTGCCCCCACCCTGTGCTCATGCTTACACCAGACAGAGGGAACCAGGAAGTGAATGTGACAGATGTTAATTATAAATTGTGTAATTCAATACTTTTGTGATCTGTGCAAAGGAAAATGGAATTGGGCATAGTTCCGGGAGGCCTTCCTACCCCTGGCCCATCAGTGCCACTGTTGCCCATGTGTCTCTTGACACAAATGCAAAACTGAAGTCCATCACTACTTTCTGTTAGAAACCCTGGTGCATAGTTGCCTCTTATTAAAGATGGGGGTGGTGGTGCGGGGGCCAGGGCAACCTTAATGCAGGAGAGGAGCTTGGTCCTGCCTCAACTTGATGTGCCATGCTGTGTTGATTCCCATGGGAGGCCTGCCCCTTTCTGATTGGAGATAAAGGAGCAGATAGGGGTGGGGTTAGGAGTGAGGTGGGGGAGGGAGAGGGAGGAGAGGAGGGAGGGGAAACTGGATGGTACATAAAATAAATGAAAAAAATTAATTAAAAGAAGTTGGGGGCCAGGGGAAGAGATATCACCTTCTCTTCTCCTTCTCCTTCTCCTCCTCCTCATTCTCCTTCTTCTTCTTTTTGAGTTCTATTCTCCCTGACACTAGGAAGTGCAAATTCCCTTCCGTTGGTATCTCAGTATCCCAAGCCTGCATGCAGACCTAGCCTAGCCTGGATCTAAGGCATTTTCTTACAACTCTAAGACAGACTCACATTAGATCCATCCCCAACCAAAACTATTGTCACACTCAACCTGTCTGGTCACTTGAGGTAGACTCAAAAACGACATTGCCTTTTTCTCTGGCAGCAAATGGCACTGGGGTCTATAGGCTGCCATTTGTCCCTTGCTGTGACCATTTTTTTGCCATATTACCTGTCACTTTGCCCACAACCTTCCCAGTTGCTATGCACCCATTTTCATATTCTCAATAGCATCAAATACCAACTGTGATCATTTCCTATGATCTGATACTATAATAGGTACCTTTTGAGAACATTCCCCCAAAGACTCATGTTCTAAAAACTTGGTCCCTGGTGGAGTTATGTTAGGAGATAATTAAACCTTTAAGAGATAGGGCTTAGTGGAAGATAAATAGATTTGAGGGATTAATGTAGTGCTTACAAGTCCCCACTCAGTTCCCATAAGGATAAATTATAAAAGAAAAGCCTGGCTTGTGTGAAATCGTTTCTAACACAGCCTGGCATTACAGCCAAAAGAACCACTTAGCAAACATCCCAATTTCTTTAATTCTTTTTTATGTTTTGTTGAGGCAGCAGCTCACTGTATAGCCAAGACTGACTTTAAATGTAAGATCCTTGGCCTCCCAAGTGCCGGGGTTATAGGCCATTCTACCATGCCCAGGTATTTAACCTTATTTTTGAATGTATAAAACAGGTACAATTCCTATTACCCACACATATACATTTATAAAGCACACAAAAGACGTCATTCCCATTGCTCTCTGTAGGTAGCTGTTGACATTAATTTCTGGGTTAGCTTTCTGTGGTTGTTTGAATGAGAATGGCCCCCATAGACCCATATGTTTGAGTATTTGGTCCCCAGACGATAAAACTATTTGGGAAGGATTAAGAAGTGTGACCTTGTGGGAGGAAGTAGTCACTGGGGTCGGGCTTTAAGGTTTTGAAAGGCTCAGGTCATTCCCAGTGTCTAAACTGCCTCCAACTTTCAGGTCAACAGATGTGAGCTCCCAACTGTTCCTGCCACCAAGCCTTTGCTCTGCCATCATGGATTCTGATCCTCTAAAGCCATAAGCCTCAAATTAAATGCTTTCTTTTATAAGTTGCATAGGACATGGCATTTTATTACAGCAATACTAAAATAACTAAAATACCTTCTTTTGGGGTAAAAAGGAGCAAGTAGAAATAGATACTTTGTTTCTCCTTTCTTGCACCAAAATCTGCACTTTTATGCACTGTTCTGGACTTCTCTCTTTTTTACTTTTTCATTGCCGAGAAATTGTGGAGATTAATTCACATCAGCTCATAGAGATATTTCTAATTCCATTATGGAACCATCATAAATTATGGCACAAATCATCTAATCAGTTGTGTATTAATGAGCATTTGTGCTGCTTCCAATCTTTTATTGTGGAAATGGTGTCCCAGTAAGCAGCCTGGCCACTCTGGAGTCATGGCTCAGCAGTCAAGAGCCCTGACTGCTCTTCCAGAGGAAGTTCAGTTCCCAGACCCACATGTCAGCTAACCATCATCTGTAACTCCAGTTCCAGGGGATCTGAAGTCCTTTTCTGGCCTCTGGGAACTGCACAGATGTGGTATGCAGACATATTCAGGCAAAACACACACATACACACACACACACACACACACACACACACACACACACACACACACACACACACACACACACATATATATATATAATAAAAGTAAAAAAAATCTCAAAACAAACAAACAAAAATAAAAAACCCCAAATATACAAGTAGCTTATGCTGAGTTAGTTAGTTAGTTTGCTTTGTATTTGTGGAGATGTATCTTTGGAATAGTTCCAAAGTGATTTTTCTGGGCCAACAGGATACCACATACCTACTTTTATTTCTTTGGCTGGTTTAATATTTTCCCAGATTCTCCTCCATACTGTTTTTCACCAACCAGAAACCTGTGTCTATTCTCTGCTTGCCAACAAATTAAATTGGTAGTGTTCAGATTTTCTTTTGTCTAATTGGGCATGATTTAATATGACTTTCTTTTTTTAAGAAGATAAACATTTTTCATGTTTAAAGGCCACATGCATGTATATATATCTTTTGTATAAATCCTTCTGTTTGTTGACTTACCATTTGCTTCTAGTTAAAAGGGTTTTTGTCTCTTTTTTCTTAATTTCTAAGAACTATCTATATATTAAGGACACAGTGTCTGCTACATCATCTGTCATCTTGTTCATGATTGATTACTATGCACCTGAATTCATACCCCCAGTAATATCAAATACCATTGCCTATGATCTAAATATGCCTTTATGAGGTATATTAAAATATTTTATTATATTTTGCCATTTGTTGTTTGATTGTGCCAATTTTGTTTGCCATAGATCTTTGAAAATTGTCATGATGATAAATTCAACATATTTTTTTTGCTTCCCTCACCCTGCAGGGGGAGCATTTGAGGTCATAGGATCCCTAGACCTTTCAATCATACCCCCAGCCCCACCCAGGTAAACCTGAGCATAGGGGTCCCCAAGCTCTACCTCCTCCTTCTTCTTTTTCAGGAACCCTCTCTAGGGGATTTGCTGCCTCAACCCACACTGGGTCAGAACTGGGGGAGGGTGTTCCAGCCCTAACCCTGGACCTGTCTTTTGGAGTAAAATGTATGGTTGTTTTTTTGGTTTTGTTTTTGTTTCTTTTAGGATGTTTTGAGACAATCTCTTTACATAGCCCTGACTATTCTAGAACTCACTATGTAGACCAGGCTGGCCTAGAACTCACAGAGATCTGCTTGCCTCTGCCTCCTGAGTGTTAGGATTAAAGATGTGAACCACCATGCTTGGCCTTGCTCTCAACACCCAAGGTAACTGTTAACACATGCAGGAGGGAAGGGGCTGAGTTAGAGACAGAATCTAAGGATTTATTGGGGTCTTCCATGGGAGGTCACATGAGCAGATGATTTAAAAAGAAGTAGCTTTCCCCCTAGATTTTTATCTGGGTCCCCCCACCTTCTCTCCTCACCATCATGAGATTGCCTGAGCCCTAAGGACCCTGCAGACTGGACGAAGGCATATGGGAAATCACGTTTCCAGTCTCTACCCAAGGTCTGGCTCTTAAACCTCAACATTTGGCTCCTGCCCCAGATGACTGGAGGGGAGGGAGAAGTGGGAGAGAGGGGAGAAGGTAGTAGCTTGAGCTAGCCCCAGGAACCCAGGGAAGGTCTTAGCACGGATTGAGTTTGCCTCCTTCCCTGCTCTGATTCAGGACAGACAGGTGAGGCACTGAGACTGCTCCCCAGGACACTACAGTAGCCCTGTCAGAACACATGTATCCTGAATCTTTCTGCTCGGAATGTCGAGACAGCAGGCAGGGATCATAAAAGAATCACCCAGGTTTCCCTTAGTGCTTGTTTCTGTCTTTACATTTGGACCTGACACATAGTTCATTCTGATGTGTGGTGTGAGGTCCGCTTCTGGACTGTTCTCTTTTTCCGGATGGCCGTAGGGTGTCCGAGCACTGCTTATTAGAGTCCATCCTGGTCCTGAGATGCTTCTGTCTTCACTCTCAGCTTTCCACAGACATCTCCAGAGGTCGGTCTAGATTTTCTTTCATGTCCCTTTGTCTGTGTTCATGCCCAGTATGACTCTATTGTGTGTGGACTGTGGCATGTTTTGTTTGCTTCATTTTTATTTTTGCTATTTATTGATTATTTACAGAATCTCACTGTGTTGACCTGATGGCTTGGAACTCACGACTCAGTAGGAAGAACAGGTTGGCCTCAGACTCAGAGACAGGGATCCTACCTCTGCCTCTTGAGTGCTGGGATTAAAGGTGCTGCCACACCGGGCTGTGGATTGTGTTCTAGTCATTGCAATGGCATCCTGTGACTTCTCTCTCCTTTGTTTTGTTGTTGTTGTTGTTGTTTATCATTCATGTCTGAAATTTGGGATTGACTTTCAAGCTCCAGGGGAAAAGAGTTGGAATTTTCTTGGAATCTTGTCATATTAGCCTGGAGATGGCTGGTATTTATGGTGTGGAGTCATTCCCTCCTGTAGCAACACTTGTACATAGGTTTTTGCACACACCAAAACACACATCAGTTTTTCTTTAAGTTTTTGGGTTTTTTTGGCCCCTATACCCATTGCTGTGGGTCTCCTGTCGTCAAACTGCTCATTCAGACTTTGTCCTCTCAACTTCTTGGGTGCTTCTAAGATCTGAGCAGATGGAAAGATTTCTCTAAGTGAAACCTATGTTATCCTCCAAATTAAAGGCTGCCTTAGTTAGGATTGCTATAGCTGTGATGAAACACCATGACCAAGGCAACTGATAAGAAAAAGCATGAATTTGGGGCTTGTTTATAGTTTCAGAAGGTGAGTCCGTGATCATCATGGTGGGAAGCAGGCAGCAGGCAGGCGTGTATGGTGCTGGGTCAGTAGCTGAGAGCTTACATCCTGATCCACAGGCAGGAGGCAGAGCGAGAGTGAGAGACTGGCTGTGGGGTAGGCTTTTGAAACCTCAAAGTCCACCCCCAGTGACACACCTCCTCCAACAAGGCCACACCTTCTAATCCTTCTCAAATAGTGCCACTACCTGGGGACTGAGCATTCTAACATATGAGCCAACGGGGGCCATTTTCATTCAAAGCACCACCAGAGGTATGATTGAAACCTTAACTGCCCCCTTCTCCACTGACTATCTTTCTTCCCGAGTCCTGCTGTCACAGTGCCATTTGTTTTCCATCGTGGCATTGGTAACCTGGTGACACCTTTGATCTCTTTCCTCCATGCCTGCCTATTGCCAATGGGCTGCCATCTTCTCCCTTCTGTACGGCACTGCCTGTACCTTTTATTGTTACTGCCGAATCTCCTGGCAGGGCCTTACCTCTATGCAAGCAGCTTTTCTTAGAATCTCTTTTCTCCTGTCCTGGGAGAGCATTCTCATCCACTTCCATCAGGGCACTGCACGCTCCCAACCACACGAGCCCCATCAATCTTTTCAGTCCAGCAGACTTGTGATGGTAGCTGTCATCTCCTCTGAGCCCGCTGAATGTCACAGACCCAACAAACGCCTTCCCCTCCAGTCTTGTCCTTCTATTTTACCGGTGTGTGTGACATCATAGCCTTATGGGGGTCACTTTTCAGCACCAGCTCTGTCTCTGACAGATTAAGAGTTGACATTTTCTAGAAGCTTCTCCTGATCCGTTTTGCAGGTAGTCCAGCTTGTGTCATGATCTCCGAATCACCTGTCTCCGCTCTCTTCCCACTGAGTTAATGAGGTATTTTATAGCCTGGCTTTGACATTCTAATTCCAAGCTGGTTGCTTGCTGGCTGCATACCCCAAGCTGGTATCTTTTCCTTCCCTGTGTTCCAGCTTCCTTTGCAATCCTCAACAGGCATGCCAGTACCTCCCGCATAGTATTTATATAATTTGGCTTGCCAAATCTTCAGAGCAGTGCCCCAAAGAGACTGAAAGTGCCAGTCGGTTTTACTCTTGCATTCATAGTTAGTACTTAGAATAAGTTATATGATGGAAGGCAGATGAACTTTTATTACATTGGCAGAATAGGGAGACTTTAAAAACTATGTTTTGGATGTATTAATTTTTGGAATAGGGCAGTAGAAAAGTTGTAAAAAGGCAAATCATGCCGGGCGGTGGTGGCGCACGCCTTTAATCCCAGCACTCGGGAGGCAGAGGCCGGCGGATCTCTGTGAGTTCGAGGCCAGCCTGGGCTACCAAGTGAGTCCCAGGAAAAGCGCAAAGCTACACAGAGAAACCCTGTCTCGAAAAACCAAAAAAAAAAAAAGGCAAATCATATCCCTCCTCCATCTCTTCAGCCATGTGCTTCTCCTTCCAAAGGAAGGGAGAATTCCGAGGCTTCAGTAGCTGTTTATTGCCGAGTGATGATTTCCCCCGGACTACAGCTCTCTAGGGTCTGCTTATTTCTCATTCCCTGAAAGTTTCCTCTTTCTTGTCTTTTTTGGCCTTGCTCTTCCCCTCAATAGAACACATTCCCCCAAACATCCTCTTCATTAATTCTATCCCTACCACTCACATATGCATGCGGGATAGGTTCTAAGACCCTAGGGGGTGCCTGAAGCCACAGGAGGTGCCTAACCTGACAGGAAGTACACTTTCCACTATCTGTACACATCTGTGATCAGTGGAACCCATAACCTGGTACAAGCAGACATCAACAGCAGTACAAATAAAGTCAGTTTATTACACTAAACGGTAATAATGAATTGTGTGCATGTGGTCTCCGTCTTCTGAAAATCCAGACAAGATCAGGTGTGATGGTACAGGCCTCAATCACAGGAGGCAGAGGCAGTAGGGGTGGCTCGGTGCAAAGCAGTTCTCCTTACATAGAGAGGTCCTGTTTTAAAAGGAAAAAGATCCCAGCCGAACACTATAGTAAAACTTTCAGACAGCGGTCCCCCTAGAGTAACAGGAAGCATGGGGAATAATGGGGTCAGGGGAGCTTCTGTACCTACCCTGCTCCAGGTCTGAGTGTGCTTCTTCACCAAATAACCTTTCACTGCCTTCTTGGTACCTGTTTTGTCCAGCTAGAAGTCGCTGCTATCACACTTGAGTTCATAGTCACAAGTGCCTTTTGATGCCACTCACCATCTTGTCTGACACAATTAGGGTTAATATCTTATCCTCTTCCCACCCCAAGAGACAGAGACCTCCTTGAAGACAGAGACACTTCTCTCCATAGGTCCTCCACCTTGCACTCTTTGGTTCTATGCCATGTATGTAAAACATGCTCAGTGTATGTTTCCATCACTCAAAGATGCAATCAAAAATCAGATGGAAGAGTGTTCTATAAAACCGAAGAGGTATAGCCACAAAGTACCCCAAAGAAGATTCATTTCTAATGTCAGGGAGAAGAGATCTACAATGGGGTGAATTTATGGGCTGTGAGAGTGGAAAATATGGACTAAAAGAAATGATACAGGAATTATCGTTCATTTTATTAGGTGGAAATTGCCCTTATCTTTAGGAGATGATAATAAAAAGTGAAGGTTCCCATCTGCTGCTACTTATTTGCAGATACACAGCAAAATGAGAGAAAGGGAGAAAAAGAAGATGAAGAGAAGAAGGGAAAGGGGAGGAGGAAAAAGAGGAGAAAGAGAAAGAAGAGGAGGAGAGAGAGGAAGAGGGAGAGGAGTGGGTAGGCAGAGGAGGAAAATGGGCAGAAGAACAGAGCAAACTGGCCAAGCATCCACTGTGTGGCCCTTGCCCATGCGAAATCATTTGTGATGCCTCGAACTTACCTGTACACTGAAAAATGTTTCAATAATAGCAACAAAACAAAACAGAGAAAGCATATACTGTCAACTTGAACTGAAGGAAGAGCTTTGGCCTCTCTTTGCTTGAATTCCTTCCTGGCTCAGGGCCTCTACCTTTCACCTCAGAACCAGGGAATGGTTTTGGACTAGAATAATGAAGTTCCTCATTTCCAGTGACACCTAATCCCCCTCACAGTGGGACGTGGAGAAGGCACTTGATCCAGGAGCCATGTGCTCACTGAAGCTGACTTCATGCTCTGGCACACAGTGGTCCCGGGAATGCTGCTGCATGGCCCGGAGCCCCAGCATCCACTGTGGGTTCAGACATCAAACAGGAGGCAGAAAGCCAGGGAGGAAGCAGCTAGGCATCCCAGGGCCGGTGGCGAGCACCTGACCTCCTGAGCCTGCCTGCATTCCTGAGACACACTTCATTTTTTCCCAGCTTCTAAGGGATAAATGAAGCCCTGGGCTCCGGCTGTGGGGATTAGCTCTGCCTGTGTGACGGCTCAAAGAACAAGGGTTTCTCTGTTCCCAAGAGATGGCTAATAATATACTATATGTCATCTGTCCCCTGTTTATCAGAGGAAGAATTCCATGCCAAGAGAGTGTCCAGTTTGCCCCAGAAAGCTGCCTCTTCTGGTGGCAAAAATATTCTTATCTCTAAGACTTTCTCTTTATATAGACACCTTAAAATATATTGTCTGATATCATTCCCTCTCTGCAGCTCAGTAAACACATATTCAGAATAATCCACTCAAGCTTACCACTTAGAAAGGCAGTCATCTCATACCGTAATGCATTCAAGCAGAGAAGACAGCTTACATCTGACAAACATTGGTGTGCCAAATACTCGAATGGCCTACGGGATGCACCTAATAGTCCGTGAGATGCGCATATCACTCTCATTTCACAGGTGAGAGAACAGGTCCCGGAAGCACAGTGTCCTATCCTATGGTTTGGGTGCGGGTGACTGGGGTATGCCTAATTGTCAGCTCCATGTTCTTCTGTAGTAAGCCATGCCCACCACCTGAGAATTTCTGCCTCTTGGTTCCTTCCACACACTCTTTTTTTTTTTTAAAGATTTATTTATTTATTATGTACACAGAAGAGGGCGCCAGATCTCATTACAGATGGTTGTGAGCCACCATGTGGGTGCTGGGAATTGAACTCAGGATCTCTGGAAGAACAGTCGGTGCTCTTAACCTCTGAGCTATCTCTCCAGCCCTCCTTCCACACACTCTTTAAGCTGCTTTCTGGGCCATGGTGACTGTTGTCATCCACGTTCCTCACAACTTCTGGAGAAGCAGCCTGATGCTGCTCTCTTCACGGCCCCTGGAACCTCCCCCTCTCTCCTGCCTCCGATTCCTTACGTGTAAGGAAGGGTGCTTAGCAAGTGACTTCGTGGATCTCTCAGTGGGGCATGTTTGACTCCGTCATGCTTCCTGCTAGGCTCAGGATCTACTTGACGGCGTCAAATGAGTCTGAGGGCAAGAAGAAAGGATAACTGACTTTAGAAAAGCAGTCAGTGGAAGCAGCCTGTGCAGAGTACTTCTCTTCTGAGTTCTGGAGATGTGACTGGCTCCAGTTATGTAGGTAACTGATGGCTATACAGGGCAAGTCCCTCCCAACGGGGACTGCAGATGATGAGGAAGAACCTGGAGGCACCTATCTCTCCTCCCGTGTCGACCAATGTCTGAGATGTAGCCCCAGCCTCCTGTATTGTCTTTGGGAGCCTGCTAACTAACATCTGTTCCCTAAGTGATGCCTTACTGTCCCATGTCTGTCTTACCCGTCTCTTCCCAGGACCTGGACAAGAGATAGCATGGAAGCTTGGGACAGTGTGTCACTGGGCAGGAAATTCAGAGCCAGGAGCCCATGCTCTTTCAGATAATGGATGGACACTTCAAGAATGACGCTTCAAGAATGACGCTCCAGTTTGGACATTTCAGTCCAAACTGGAGCTAGAGGAGCAATGAGAAGATGTGACTCCACAGTGGCCTGGGAGGCAGCACAAGGGGTTATTAGTGAGCCTCAGCATGCTCTCCAGTCACTTCCCTTGCCTGGCCTCACTGAACATATAAATGTGTGCTGCTCTGATCTGAAATTGCCCTAAAACTTGGAAACAAATCTCTGAGGTCTCTGTGACTCATTGTCCATAATGTGACTTAGGTTAGGGAAAGTCTATCTTCTGATTCCAGTGTATCATCTTGAAGCATCCTAGATAGGGAAGAGCATACAGAGGGTGTTTAATAAATGCTCCTCATGAAAACTTTTGCATTGTTTTCTCCCTTCCTCAACTGGCTTCCATTTCTGAGCTGCGTGTGGGTAGGCTGGGAGGGGACGGTCCTCGTTCTCAAGTGGGATATATTGGCACGCAGTTCTCTATTAAGTAAACTGCGGAGTGCCCATTCAGCCACACACCCCAAAGAGTGGGTTAAGAAAGGAACAGCAGAATGGAAATGGAAAAAAAAAATTAAAATATACCTTAATTCTCTTCTTCATTTTCCAGTCCTGATTTAGAAATGACTACATCTGTTAGACAATACCCACCCTCCCTTTCTCTGCAGGCCACCACCATTCCCCTCACCCCCCATCCCGGCTGGCAGCTGGTCTTTCCTAATTGGTAATATGTCTTGATAACCACAGGCCCTAAGCAGCTGTCACTGTGAATTTGGGCTGGTGGCATAGCTCCCTGTCATTAACTTGCTTGTTGGTCCTACTGGTGCTTAAGAAAGGATTAAGTTAATAATGATAGTGATGGGACAGAAAGCAAAGAGAGGAAAGAGAGGGAAAAGGAGAGAAAAAACACCCTCTAATTCCATGGCACAGGTTTTACAGTTGAACTACCCTGACACAACCTTGAGTCGGGATGAGTCTGGCTCATAATCCCAAGCAGATTTCAACAGGTTCAATCCTTTTTTTTTTTTTTATTCATTGTCTCATGGGATAATATTTCTAAGTAAATAGCACAACGGAGTATCCCCTGTTCCCAAGTGGTAGCAGCTCCCACTGATTTCCAGGGTGGGAAGGCCTGCAGGATGGAGTCAGGCGGGGCTTCTAAAGCAAAGACTATCCCGTTGTATCAGGTGAAGAAACACCACCCCTGAGTCCAGAGCAAGGCATCTCAAATTCCCAGCGTTCTACCGTTGGAAAGATGGTTTCGGACCCTGCTCATGTCTATATATACTTTTCCCTTGGCAATGACAAAAAAAATACGTGTGGAAGGGGCCAGTCCTCAGCTTGTGGTGTCACTCATTCTCTTTCCAAATATAGAGAAAGAATGAGCCCGGGGGGTTAGTGGTGGCCTATAAAAGCCCAGGGGGGTGGCTGCTCCTCTGTGGCTCACTCTGTCGTGCTCAGAGGTAAGTGGCAGTACTTTCCTTGTACCTCTTTTGACCTTTGCTGCTTCCACACCAGGTTCAGCCACTGCTCTGGGCTGTGGCCCTGCCTGGCTTTGTCACATAAGGTGGCCCTCATTTCTCTTCTCAAGGTGTTCTCAAAGAACATGTGTGGAGTGAGATGTGAGGCTCAGTCCCCAGCTGCCTGCTGCCTCGAGCAGGTCATCATCACTGGGGTCCTACTCTCTCCTCTCACTCTCTCTTTCTTCTGCTTGGGAAGGAACCTGTTGGACACATGTGGGCCTGTCCGCCATGGCTTGACGGTCTCCTGCTGCCTCTCTGATCCACGGAGTGGGCAGAGGACTCTGCGCTTCCTATCTGGACTCTATACCTGTTGGGTGTTTAGTTGCCTCAAGACCACATGCTGGGGTCACCAAGTTTAAATTAGCCAATCTCAGCATTGTCTCTGATCACAGACAATGAGGAGGCCTGACCTCACCTGGTAACAGAAGCTTTTATTGGCAGGGCCTCAGTCCATGTAGAATCCTTGTCCTATTCATGTTGGATGATCTTGCAGTTTGAAGAAACTGTCAGAGTGGGCTGGGAGAGCCAGCCTGCCAGGGAGTTGGCAGCTCTACCTAGCTAGAGGCCATGACCTGTCTGCTCCTCCAGCTTGTCTCAGGGTTAAAGGCTCTTTATAACGGTCTAGGCCTTTGTGTGTGTAAATTGAGTCTCATCAAGATCTGGTTCAACACAGAAGCAGACATCACGCATCTCTAAACTTTTCTGTGTGCATGCTGTTGCAGACATCACAACTCTCAAAGTTTCTCTGTGTGCGTGCTGTTGCAGGTCCTGTAGCTCCACAGCTGCTGCTGTTTTCTGCTGTCCTGTGAGTGTGACTCAGGTGAGAATCAGGCCCCATCCCTGGGCTTCAGGAAGTCTTCGGGTAAACCCAGATCACCCAGCGCTCTCTCAGACTAGGCTTCAGGGAGGGAGAGAAAGGTCTTTCCTCCCCAGGGCTGCAGCCGGAGGATCCCATCTATTTTTTGTGGGTTTCTTTGTTTGTTTGCTTGCTTGATTTTTTTTTTTTTAAAGAAAGGATCTCATTATGTAGCCCTGATGGTTCAGAACTCACTAGGTAGACCAGGATGATTTCAAACTCACAGAAATCCACCTGCCTCTGCCTCCTGAGTGCTGGGGTTAAAGGCGTGCACCACCATGCTTGGCCTTTATTCTATTCTGAGTGCGAGAGGAAGAAGCCATCTCAACTCAGAACACTTCAAAACTGCCCCTTCCATTTGCTGTTCAGCATGCTCTCTTTGAGGGATGTCTTATCTATCTATCTATCTATCTATCTATCTATCTATCTATCTATCATCTATCTATTTACTTTTCATGGTATTTATTTTTGAATGTTCTGTCGTCGGCCATATGCACATCTCAGAAGAGGAAAATGAAGTGTCAGGAGTGGGATTTCAAAAGCCCAGATTGAAGGAACTGAGACACTTGGATTAAACAGACTCTATCTAAGCCCACAGCACACAGTAGCAACTCAACAAATATGAGCTGATTACATTTTCCCAGTGCTGACTCCTTGTGTGGAGCCAGCCCCACCAGGCATGGAACAGCCCAGGTCTCCTTGACCCAGTCTGAAAAGCTTCCATGGACAGCTCGGGGGCAGGCTGATCTACTAGGGTGGGTGGGAGGCTGCCTGCTGCCTGGCCAGGAGCAACTGCTCTGACTGCTGGGTTTGTTCTGCAGCTGACGCCATGAGTAGCGACTCTGAGATGGAAGTGTTCGGCATAGCTGCACCTTTCCTCCGCAAGTCGGAAAAGGAGAGGATTGAAGCCCAGAACCAGCCCTTTGATGCCAAAACCTATTGCTTTGTGGTTGACTCAAAGGAAGAATATGTCAAGGGGAAAATTAAGAGTAGCCAGGATGGGAAGGTCACCGTGGAGACGGAAGACAACAGGGTAAGGTGTTTGCTCTTTTTCTTCCTCAGCACTGACCCAGCTCCTCACATTGCTTTGCATAAACATCACCTCCCTCCTTCACCTGCTTGCAGAGCCAGAGCCTGGGTCTGGAATTCAGCATCTGAACCAGTGTGAGGTATCCAGACACTGGGAGAAAGCTGAATGCCCTGGCCTCTGTAGCCAGATGGGAGATGGGCCCTGCAGTGGCTGATTTATTTTGGGTGTCTTTTGTCACTGTTTGCATTGTCCTAGGCCAGAGAACCAGCTTTGTTGTCTCAAGGGCTGAGTACTTCTGGAACACCCACTGTTTGTAGGTTCCCCCAGTTCTGTCAATGGTCATCTAACCAAGGAAGGTCAGGGACCCTAGAAGACCACAAGGTCAACGTCAAGGACCAGGCTCTCTGTATCTGGAATGGGAAGGGCAATTGAGCCCACTATATGCTGTGAGAGGAAGGGAGGAAGTTGAGACTTGAGAAAATCCTGAATCTGGAAATGCTACAAGGAAGAAAACCAAAGAGCCGTGGGTATGGCTCAATGGTAGAACACTGACCCAGCACGTGCAGGGTCCTGGATTCAATCACCATGGTGTGATGGAGGCAGAAGCAGAGTCAGGACAAAGAAGATGCAAGAGATGAAGGAAATGACGTCATTCAGTGGAGCAGGGAGGAAAGGGGCAGTATAAGTATGGAAGCTCCTGGAAGGAACCTCCACATATTCCAGGTAAAGAAGCTGAGAATGGGCTTCCAGAGCAGGATGGAAGGCAGAAACTAGACTCAATGTAGGATTATCACTGGGTCTTGGGAGAATATGCCTATGAGGGCACAGGAGAGCCCACAGCCCAGGGTGACTTAAGGGAAGCAGGGAAGAAGGCAGCTTTCTGGCCCATACTGCTCAGGGATTGGCTATTTCCAGAGTCACTCCAAAGAGAAAGGTGGGCAGGAGCTGACAGGTCCATCACAGGCCGTCCACAGAGGAAAGCCCCTGGGCTTGGTGATGAAAGTCTCCCTCTCAAGGAAGAGATCTAGGGATGCTGTAGAAAGAGAAGGGTGGGTCAGCAGCTCTTCTGCAAGAGCAGGGAAAGTGGTGAAGGAAGACAGATTGGGGGGGGGTCCTCAAAACTGGACAGCTGCTTCTACAGGGCGGCGAAGTTGGCAGCCCCTGTGGGTACCACACCAGGGACACAGTGTCTCTTCTCTCATTCCCTGTTGTCCCTGGTCAGGCCTGCTGCAGACATGCCCTTTTCTCTGAGCAGGTAGGAGAATTACAGAGACAGCCAACATCACAGTCAAACACCTTCCTTTGGCTCCCGTTCTGTGTCACAGGCCTCCACTTAGTCCTCAGAGGTCCTCTATCATCGTTTTCTCACTGTCCCCCAACCCCGGGCCCATCAGATAGGAAAATCAAAAGTCCTGAGTGGTGGGAACAGAACCCATGCTGTACCACCACCACCACATGCCGTGCCAACCTTGTTTTCCCTCCCTGCCACCCAGGCCTTTCTTCTGCTCGCCCGCTTTGCAGTCTCTCCCCAGGGTGCCAGGCACCCACAGCTGTCCAACAGCTGGGGGACGTTAGATGAACCTCACGACTCTTCCCTTTCAGACCCTGGTGGTTAAACCGGAGGACGTGTATGCCATGAACCCCCCCAAGTTCGACAAGATCGAGGACATGGCCATGCTCACTCACCTGAACGAGCCCGCCGTGCTGTACAACCTCAAGGACCGCTACACGTCCTGGATGATCTACGTCAGTGGCTACTCGCCCGCCCGCTCGCGGGCTTTCCTGTGGCATCAGATATGGGGGGGGGAGGGCGAGGCGGGGGGAGCCTGCAGAGGGAGGGGAGTCTTCCTTGAAAGAGAGGAGATGGAATAGGGAAGAGAATGACGAAGAGACAGATGGAAAAGCAGGAGCTGGATGGGAGAGGAGGAGGGAAGGTGGGGAGGAGGGAAGGTGGGGAGGAGGGAAGGTGGGGAGGAGGGAAGGTGGGGAGGAGGGAAGGTGGGGAGGAGGGAAGGTGGGGAGGAGGGAAGGTGGGGAGGAGGGAAGTTAGAGAGGAGGAGCCAAAGAACAAGAAAGCTGAGGTCACGGTGGGGTCGGCATGGGACTAGCTGTGGGAGGACTGGTTGCTTTCCTCTTTGAATTTCAGTTGCTTCATCCATAAATAGAAATCATCTCTTCTTTATGAGTTATCAAAAGAAGCCTGGGGTAATAATAAAGGCTATATATATATGTATATATAATGCATACATATGTATATACGCCTATATTATGTATATGATATATACATATATATATATGTATGTATGTATGTATGTATTTTTTTCCTCTCATAGACCTACTCGGGCCTCTTCTGCGTCACTGTCAACCCCTACAAGTGGCTGCCGGTGTACAACCCTGAGGTGGTGGCGGCCTACCGAGGCAAAAAGCGCCAGGAGGCCCCGCCCCACATCTTCTCCATCTCTGACAACGCCTACCAGTTCATGCTGACGGGTGTGTTTTCCAGGAGAAAGTATGGGGATGGGGAGTGGGAACTAGACAGACTCAGGGTCACTCTGGGGCGAGACTCTGGAGAAGGAGGGGCAAGAAGGAAAGAGGTCCTGGGGGCCAGGGTGAGGAGTTTGCATTCTGTGTAGGTATTGGTTAGACCCTAGGAAATGAATACCCTTATCAGAAACAAAGACGGACCATCTTAGATGGTTCAACCTCCGAGGATGAGAGGCCTCAGTTCTCATCAAGGGCTTAACTTCTTTGAGTCTCCTTATCAGGACAGAAGCTCTTTAGACCCCCACCTATGACTAAGCAGACAAACCAAAAACTAAATAAGTAAATAAATAAAGGGAAAAGGACCAGAGCAGCTGCAGCCTACTGCTTGCGTTTTGGATACAACCTCTTTGGACATAGCCATCAGCTCTGTTTCCTTCCCCTTTGACAGATCGTGAAAACCAGTCGATCCTGATCACGTGAGTATCCCTGCTTGCAGAGGTTTGGCAGCTGGGGCCAAGGGTGCCATTCCTTCAGCTCTGTTCATTAGGCAGAGCTTGGAGCAAAGCCCATGGTGGAAAGACAGGTCGGGGATGGGTGAAAAAGCCTCAGAAAACTGGGATTGCCCATGCTTGGAACAACTAAGGCAGTAGCCTGGGCCCTCTTCCCCTCTGTGTGTCAGAAGTGTTGAAGACCACCGGGCGACACCTTGGGGTTTATGAACAGGACTAATTTCTTTGTCCTTCCGTCCTTCTAAACAGTGGAGAATCCGGGGCCGGGAAGACTGTGAACACCAAGCGGGTCATCCAGTACTTTGCAACAATTGCAGCCACTGGTGACCTCGCCAAGAAGAAGGACTCCAAAATGAAGGTGGGGAAGGGAGCAAAGAAAAGAGAGTGGGCTAGGGTGCAAGAACCTGGGGGACAGCGAGTGGTTGACCACGGGTCCCGATCCTGTGATTTCTTAGCAGATGAGATGCCAATACTTTATAAGAGGTCTGGGGGTAAGTCAGAGAGCTTGTTCCTTCAGGGTGGCCTCACAGATAGCAGCCTGAGAGCGCTGTGAGGAATGCATATCCCCTGATTCCAGTCTGCAAGGCTGTGAGAGAAGGAACAGCAATCTCATTAACTGGAGGACCAAGTTAAAGTGTGTCCACTCAAGAGATCCGACAGTTGACAAGTCCAAGGGCAATGCAGAAGTGTTTCGAGGAGGGCACACTGCTGCTGACGTGGTTGGGCTTTCAGTTGCCAAGTCAGGAGGGAAAGCCTGGCGTTGCTGGAGCAGCCAGGAAGCCAGGCAGGCAGGACAAACAGGGCAGGGGACGATTGTTTTTTAACCCCCATTCTGTGGCTTACAAAACACATTTTCCCTTCCTCTCTGGTTCTCTTGCTTAGGGGACGCTGGAAGATCAAATCATCAGCGCCAACCCCCTGCTGGAGGCCTTTGGCAACGCCAAGACCGTGAGGAACGATAACTCCTCCCGCTTTGTGAGTCTGCCCTTGAGTGTGATGGGCTCTTCGGCCTGCGGGACAGTCAGGGTGCCTGAGCTTGGGGAACTTACAGATCCATGGGAAGAGACAGAGAAAGAAGCAAATACATAGGCCACATGTATGTGAGTTTCCGAAAAACTGAGAAACTGGGGACCAGGTCCCCAACACACAGGGCTGGCTGGTAAGGGCTTTCTGGGGGTTGGGCACATGAGCCAAAAGCTGCTGGGTAAGGAAGGGGATGAGGGGAAGAGTAGCTACATGTTCCCTGAGGTGGGCATGGTGTGTGGAACATTCCTACAGAGGAGTCACGTGGACGTGGCAAGTGGGGAGAGAGAGGGAGAAGAGACCTGTCGCTAACAAGAGCATTAGCCATAAGAAAGCCTTCAGGTATTACCTTAAGCACAATAGGAAGGATTCTGTAAGCAGGACGTGACATGGTTTGTCACCCCGGTTAGTTCCTTAATGAGATATGGGGAGTGCAAGAAGAGGCAGACACACCAAAGAAGGGGGAGGGAGAGGAGGGAAGACACACTTCGGTTCAGACTACCGAGGGAGAGGCTCCTATGGGCAGTGCTCAGGCATCTGCTTCCCAGCCATGGAAGGATCTCGTCTCCCTCCCTCTCCGCAGGGCAAATTCATCCGCATCCATTTCGGCACCACTGGGAAGCTGGCCTCTGCAGACATTGAAACTTGTAAGTGTGCTCATTGGGACAAGTGTGTTCTCACAGCCAGCCATGGGGGAGTGGGGGGAGGGGAGGACAGCGTGGCCCACAGGCCTTTGCTTCTGTTCCAGATCTGTTGGAAAAATCCAGAGTCACCTTCCAGCTGAAGGCTGAGAGGAGCTACCACATCTTCTACCAGATTCTTTCCAACAAGAAGCCTGAGCTGATTGGTGAGGTCACAGGGGTGGGTGGGTAGGGGTGATGGTGGTGGTGGTGGTGGTGGTGGTGGTGGTGGTGGTGGTGGTGGTGGTTGGTGGTGGTGGTGGTGATGGTGGTGGTGGTGGTGATGGTGGTGGTAGTCGTGGTAGTGGTGGGGTGGTGGGATGGTGGGGTGGTGGGGTGGTGGGGTGGTGGATGTAGAGGGGAGGAAGTTGTCTTCGGGCTTTTGGATTATTAGACCCAAGAGAGTTACTTGCACCTATAGGTGACTCTACAGCCAATGGAGATTTCTATCAGCCACGGGATATGGCTTTTTAGGCAGAACTGTACCATTTAAAAAAATTATGCAGTATTCATATGAGTATGTGTGTGGACGTGCATGGGTGTCTATGGGTGTACACGCACATTTGTGCATATGCAGGCCTAGGGCTGATTCTGGGTGTCCACTCAACCTTAATATTAAGACAAAGTCCCTCACCGAGGCTGGAGCTACTCTAGCTAGCCAGCATGCTGCTAGGACCCCTGCCTCTGCCTCCTCAGCGTTGGGGTTACAGGCAGACCCCAACATCCACCTAACTTTCATATCAGTTTTGGGGATTCGAACTCCAGTCCTTATGCATACATAGCCAGCACTTTACCTGCTGAGCCATCTCCCCAGCCTGACTGTACCAACTTGAAAAAGCTGTTATGATGTGCTGTAATAGGGCAAAATCATTCTCGGTACCCTAGAGGTCTTTGAACAGTTAAGTGCTTAATGGTCCTTGAGCGCCCTCTTGTGTTCCAACACAGGAACCACCTCAGCCACATAAGGCCAGTAGCATAAACCAGGTCACAGCCCGGCTAGGGCCGCTCTGCCTCTAGAGTTGTAGCTCATAGAGGCCTCTGTGCTCACTATCTTTACTTTCTGTCTGTACCAGCTAAGCCTTCTGGGCTCCAGCCTGCAAACAGGCTTCCGGTTTCCAGCTAACTTTAGAAAAGGCTATCTGAAGCAGTCTATGCTTTCCCCAGCCTGGACTCCTGTCCTGGCACACACTCATCCAGTTTTCCTTATTCACTGTCCCCAACCTACGCTAGCATGCAACGCTCATTTGCAAAGCAAAAAGACAGAAATGTCTTTTCTAGGTTTCTCCCCTTTCATGGCCTGGGGGACTGCAAAGTTGCCCCTTGATTACGTTTTCTGTCACGACCTGAGCAATGTGAAGCTGTCTGGGCTCTAGAGAGTTCTTTTGCGTTTAACTTTGACCTCAGTCGCAGGTCAGGGTTCAGGGGCTCCATTCCACCTGTTGGATTTTTCACTCCACGTGTGTGAATTCCTCAAACGCTCATCGTTTCAGAGTTGCTGCTGATTACAACCAACCCTTATGACTACCCGTTCATCAGCCAGGGTGAAATCCTGGTGGCCAGCATTGACGATGCCGAGGAACTGTTGGCTACAGATGTAAGAAGGACCATAGCAAGGTGGGAGGGCCTCTCCGCAGTGAGGGGGATGGACAGACGAGCTGTTCTTTCCATTGCAGAGTGCCATTGACATCCTGGGCTTCACCCCAGAGGAGAAATCTGGACTGTATAAACTGACCGGGGCTGTGATGCATTATGGGAACATGAAGTTCAAGCAGAAGCAGCGAGAAGAGCAGGCTGAGCCGGATGGCACCGAAGGTACATTGTCACCACAGCAGGCTACAGAGCCTGAGCAGAGGGGTCATTCCCCTGGGGCCATCCAGAGCCTCTTTGGAAAATGATTAATTCCCCCCTCCCCCCCCCCCCCCGAAGGTGAAGGAGGTTTTTCTGGGACTGTAACAAGATAAGAAACCATCACCACAAGCTTTAAAAAAACTTATTAGTTTTGTGTGTATATGTGTGTGTGTGTGTGTGGGTACATACATGCATCCTATATATAGCTCATGTGTGGAGGTCAGTGCACAACTTTCAGAAGTCGGTTCTCTCCTTCCACAAGGAGAGATCAAACTCAGTTGTCAGGAGTGGTGTCCCGTGCCTCTACCTGCTAAGCCGTCTCCAGCCCCTCCACCCATTTCTGCTGAATTCCTAGAAAGGTCTTATTCCAGATGCAATGTGAAATGGCCAGGGCTTTCTGGAACCAAATCCCGCTGCTTCATGAAGACTCCTACACTCTCCAAGTGATGGTATCACTGGTCCCACATAGATATTTCAGGGATGGGGAATCTGAAGATGTCAAGATGAAACATCTCAGTGGCTTTCCTCCTTCCTTCTTGAACATGGTCTTCTCTTTCTGACCAGTGGCCGACAAGACAGCCTACTTGATGGGCCTGAACTCTTCAGACCTCCTCAAAGCCTTGTGCTTTCCCAGAGTGAAAGTCGGGAACGAGTATGTTACGAAGGGCCAAACTGTGGACCAGGTAAGGGGCTGCCTGGAGGCCAGGAGGGAGGGCCCTGGGGCCCTGACGGTCACTGCCTTCTTACTAGTTTGCTGGCCTTTCCTTCAACAGGTTCATCATGCGGTGAATGCACTCTCCAAGTCTGTTTATGAAAAGCTCTTCCTGTGGATGGTCACTCGGATAAACCAGCAACTAGATACGAAGCTCCCAAGACAACACTTCATTGGGGTTTTGGACATTGCGGGTTTTGAAATTTTTGAGGTTGGTTGTTATTTGTGTCTTCTCATATCTTTGTGTAGGAAGTTTTCATAACCCTAAAGCGGGGGCACCGAGGTGGTTTCCTTGTAGGAAGGATAGAAAGAGTGAGTCGGGTAGGAGAGAAATAGCCTATCAGGACAGTTTGCATTGTTTTCAGACAGCGGAAGAGGCTGGGGAGATGGTTTAGGCAGTAAGGTGCCTGCTTTGGAAGTAGGGAGACCTGAGTGTGATGCCTAGGATGCATGCATTAAAAAAAAAAAAAAGCTGGGCATGGTGGTGTGTCTCAGCAGACACAAGCAGACCCCTGGGGCTCACTGGTCATTCAGCCTACCCTACTCGAAATTTCCAGGCCAATAAGAGATCTTGTCTCAAAAAAAAAAAAAAATTGGGTGGATGTTGCTTGGAGAATGACACCCAAAGTTGTCTTCCAGCCTCTACAGGCACACACACATACACACATTCATGTGAGCCCACATATATTTGTGCACATGTGAATACACATACACACACACATGCACACATGCACACATGCATGCAGATACACACAGGGCTGTAGACTTCCTTCAAGTGGAATTTTAAAGGATATCACCAAATAGGTAAAATTAAGAAAAATCCAATGGAGAGCCAGAGAAGTGGAAATTCAATACAGTCCATCACGTACTAGTTGATAGAATTATCTGACAGGTTCTGAGTTGGAAGCAACTGTGTATTCAGTGTTTACCAGGCAGCGGCCATGAAGGCAGGCAGAAGGGTAGCTTGCAGTTTAGTTGAGAATAAACAGAAGCCTATAGGGCACACAGAAGCATAAACATAAGGTAAGTGCACCAGAGGTGCCCAGAGGCAGGAGGACCATCTAGGTGGAAGGCTCTATAGAGATGTGGTCAGAGCCGGGCCTCTTGGAATCATGATTGGCTCTGAAAACATAGATGAGCATGTGGGACCCCATCCACGAGAAGGAATGCTGACGGAGTTTCATTCTGAAAGAGGTCTAATTTTTCATGTGAATGTTATATTTTGATTTCAGTATAACAGCCTGGAGCAGCTGTGCATCAACTTCACCAACGAGAAACTGCAACAGTTTTTCAACCACCACATGTTCGTGCTGGAGCAGGAGGAGTACAAGAAGGAAGGCATTGAGTGGACGTTCATTGACTTCGGGATGGACCTGGCCGCCTGCATCGAGCTCATCGAGAAGGTATCCTACTCCGTCTGCTCTGAGCGCCCTTCCCATGTACTCCGCTGCTCATGGTTACTCAGATGCCTTTGTCTCACCTCCAATCCAGCCGATGGGCATCTTCTCCATCCTGGAAGAGGAGTGCATGTTCCCCAAGGCGACAGACACCTCCTTCAAGAACAAGCTGTATGACCAGCACCTGGGAAAATCCAACAACTTCCAGAAGCCTAAGGTGGTCAAAGGCAAGGCCGAGGCCCACTTCTCCCTGATTCACTACGCGGGCACCGTGGACTACAGCGTCTCAGGCTGGCTGGAGAAGAACAAGGACCCCCTGAATGAAACGGTAGTGGGGCTGTACCAGAAGTCCTCCAACAGACTCTTAGCGCATCTCTATGCCACCTTCGCTACAACAGATGGTAACTAACAGACCCCAGACACGGGGGTGGGCCTTTGTCCTCTCGTGATCATCTCCCTTTTCCCACAGCACCCCAAAGACTCGGTAGCTCTATTGACAGTGCCTGGCTCCTTTCGTGTCTTACAGCTGACAGTGGGAAGAAGAAAGTCGCTAAGAAAAAAGGCTCTTCCTTCCAAACGGTCTCTGCACTTTTCAGGGTAGGACATTTTTGAGTTAATCCGTCCACAGTTCACTGGAGTCATCGCAAAATGAGCAATGTCGAGATCCTAGACTTGATTTGTTCAAGGGTAGTAGTAATGTTGCCTGAGTCTGATGGCTGTCACTGAGTGAGGTCAACTGACAGCCTGGCCATATACAGATGAGGTCTAACACAGATGGGACCAAGATGAATTTCCATTTTGAACTATACCTAGCGGGGTGGCCAGCTACGGAAGGGAGTTCTCAGTTCTAATTACCTAGTTGCCTTCAGGACACCTGAAGTAGCCCTCCAGGCACCCGGTAGAGACAGACACATTTTCTGTGTTGATTTGGGGAACCACTTTGTGGTCGGTGACCATCTTGCAACCCAGGAGAAAGATGACTGAGGTGGGTCACATTTCCCTGTCCTTAGGACCAGAAGTGGTTCAGACTTCAGATTTTTTTTTTTTTATTAATCCATATATAAAATGAGATTTCTCAAGGATGGGACTAAACTTGAGAAACACAAAATCTAAACACAAAATCCATCTGTATTCCGTATATGTCTTATATAGGCAGGATGAAGGTAATTTTACAAGGTATCTGAAGCATACTGCTGTTGGGCCTCCATAGGGTGGAATGTTCCTTTTGCAGGTCATGCTGGTACTCAAAAAATTTCAGACTTACACAAAGAGACAAGGTTCAGGTTTTAGAGCATTTTAGATTTTCAAGCTAGGGGAATGTCCAAGTTGGGTCAGTTTTCTGTATGTCCAGCCTCGGGATTATTCAAGGACAGAGCTAATTTCACAATTCTTAGGTTGAAGGCACAGATTTTAGTTTTTACCACCAGCATGTATTTGTCTCTGTGGAGGTTTATAGTGGGCTGCCAAAGGAAACCTTTTTTCTTTTAGGAAAACCTGAACAAGCTGATGTCCAATCTCAGAACCACCCATCCCCACTTTGTGCGCTGTATAATACCCAATGAGACCAAGACCCCAGGTGAGACACCGGCCACCCCTCTGGTTGCTGCTGAGTGGGAGGACTTCCAAGTGACGCTCAGGTATCTGGTCTGTGTTCTCAGGGGCCATGGAGCACAGCCTGGTCCTGCATCAGCTCAGGTGTAACGGGGTCCTGGAAGGCATCCGCATCTGCCGGAAGGGGTTCCCCAACAGGATCCTGTATGGGGACTTTAAACAAAGGTACATTGTCAAAATCTTTGTTCGTCCTTTGACAAGGATAAGAACTGGAACCTGAGGAAAGGCATATCAGAGGAAAAGACCCATTTTAAAAGAGTTGTGGTTTGTCTTCTATGTGAAATAACCTACTGCTTGGTCAAAGTTCACATCCTTGTACCGTCCACATTTCTTTAGAACTTGTCAGATATATAACAGGGAAGGGAAAGAAAGCCCTGACCCAAGAGGCCCAAGGCCTACGTTCCAGACTACTGTCTAGAGATGTGAGCAGGTTTCTTTACTTCCTGGGAACTAGGCTTTCTGTTCTATAGGAAGAGAGGCCTGCGATCACCAGTTTTTGCCAACAGCCTGTGATCATTTCTGTGTCCACAATGGCAGATATCGAGTACTGAATGCCAGTGCCGTCCCAGAGGGCCAGTTCATTGACAGTAAGAAAGCTTGCGAGAAGCTCTTGGCTTCCATTGACATCGACCACACACAGTACAAATTTGGACACACGAAGGTAGCGCATCGATTCTGCCTCATGCTGTTAGCCTTTGTGTCCTCTTAACACAATGAGCCAGATGGCTCATTGTTCTTACCCATCCTCCCGAAGGTGTTCTTTAAGGCTGGCTTGCTTGGAACGCTGGAAGAGATGCGGGATGACCGCTTGGCCAAATTGATCACTCGGACTCAAGCTGTGTGCAGAGGGTTTCTCATGCGTGTGGAATTCCAGAAGATGATGCAAAGGAGGTTAGAGCAAGGTCTTTGTTTAAGCATGAGTTCTTTGGGAGAAGGGGGAAGAGAGAATCCCTTGTAGAAATGAGCAATAGTTTTTTTTTCCTTTCTTCTCAAATTACATTTTATTTATTTATTGCATTTGTGTGTGTGGACATGTATGCCAAGGCAAACTTGTAGAGTCAGAGGACAGCTTGAAGGAATCAGTTCTTGCCCCCACCATGTGGGGCCTAGGAATCAAAATCAGGTCATCAGGCTTAGTTAGCATCAGGCACCTTTACCTGCTGAGCCATCTTGCTGGACCATTCTTTGTTTGTAGGGAGTCCATCTTCTGCATCCAGTACAACATCCGCGCCTTCATGAACGTCAAGCACTGGCCCTGGATGAAGCTCTTCTTCAAGATCAAGCCCCTGCTGAAGAGCGCAGAGACTGAGAAGGAGATGGCCACCATGAAGGAAGAGTTCCAGAAAACCAAAGATGAACTCGCCAAGTCGGAGGCAAAGAGGAAGGAGCTGGAGGAAAAGCTGGTCACCCTGGTGCAAGAGAAGAATGACCTGCAGCTTCAAGTACAGGCTGTACGTCTTTAAGAATTTTGCTTTTTCATATTCCAGACTTGATTATGATTTTAGGAAAGCTAGGTTATTGAGGATGGGGCTTGGGTGGGTGCTGGGATTTGCTTGGAGTCAGAGAGGACTTCATATAGAATGGAAGACAGCAGTATCTCAATCCTTTTGTTCCTTAAAGGGAATTGTGATTTCTTTTTAAAGGAGAGTGAAAATTTGTTGGACGCCGAGGAACGGTGCGACCAGCTGATCAAAGCCAAATTCCAACTGGAGGCCAAAATCAAGGAGGTGACAGAGAGAGCTGAGGATGAGGAGGAGATCAACGCTGAGCTGACCGCCAAGAAGAGGAAGCTGGAGGATGAATGCTCAGAGCTGAAGAAAGACATCGACGACCTGGAGCTGACACTGGCCAAGGTTGAGAAGGAGAAGCATGCCACAGAGAACAAGGTTGTCACTCCCCTGCCGTTCCTCTCCAGCTCCATTCACTCATTTCAAACCAAGCTCTGTTTCCTCTTCTAATTGCTTGCGGCTTCTTCTAGGTAAAAAACCTTACTGAGGAACTGGCCGGGTTAGACGAAACCATTGCAAAGCTAACACGGGAGAAGAAGGCCCTCCAAGAGGCCCACCAGCAGACCCTGGATGACCTCCAGGCTGAAGAAGACAAGGTCAACTCTCTGAGCAAGCTCAAGAGCAAGCTGGAGCAGCAAGTGGATGATGTGAGCAGAGGGACTTAGTCTCGGGAGTGTGGAACCTTAGGGCGGAAGAGCCCTGGGCAGGGGCTGGGTGGTAGTGGGACCCTCCCCTTGGAAATCATTTAATCCTAAAGGGGCAAATGATGCCTTTTGCAGCTGGAGAGTTCCCTAGAACAAGAAAAGAAGCTACGTGTGGACCTGGAAAGGAACAAGAGGAAGCTGGAGGGAGATCTGAAGCTCGCCCAGGAGTCCATATTAGATCTGGAGAATGACAAGCAGCAGCTGGATGAGAGGCTCAAGAAGTATGTCCCCCAAACACGGCCTCCATCCCGTGAGTGGCTGGGGACGCCGTCCTCACGCGTTCTCTGTGTCCTGCCACAGGAAGGACTTTGAATACAGTCAGCTGCAGAGCAAAGTGGAGGACGAGCAGACATTGAGCCTCCAGCTTCAGAAGAAAATCAAAGAGTTACAGGTAGGAGGCCTTCCGCGCTTGCTTGACCTTGTTGGTCACGCAGAAGCATGGGTGGTGTCTGCTCAAAGCCATTGAGCTGGTGGGGTAGGACCGTGTGGCTGCCAGCCTCATGGGATCCAACTCTGCCAGGCTGACACGGCCGTGGTGACCATGATGACCATGTTCCCCAAACTTGCAATAAAATGCACGGAAGTGAATGGAGAAATTTCCAGGGTAGTGACTGTATTGGTGCAGGAAAGTTTCGTTTGGAGGAAAATTAGCAGCATTTATGTTTTTCAGGCGCACGGGGGCAGGGGGTGAGTAGGTGGGGGTGGGGGCATGGAGGCATCCATGAGCAGATTCATCTGGTGGGAATAAAACCTCATCTGCTCAATCATCATCATCATCATCACGGACTAATTTTGTTTATTAATGGGCTTCCGTGTGCTCATTCATCACATGCCTACAGTGTGCAGTAACTCAGCTCTTCTCTTAACCACTTAGCCTACCTTCCTAGCCTTCAGCAATTGCTGTGTCATATTCAGATTGACTTAAACAAATCCTTCACATGAAAATGTGCACTACGTGTTTTTCCATGTCTAGTGTCTTCCATTTTGCAGCAAATGGTAGGGCTTAATTTTTTTTTTTAAGTCGAGTAATATGCCACCATTTAAGGGAAGGACGTTTGCTTCATGCACTCGTGGGTTGATGGCACCTACATGGATACCATGTTAGCTGTTGTGAATGGTGAACTGGCTGCCCCCTACAGGCTCGCATCGAGGAGCTGGAGGAAGAGATAGAGGCAGAGAGAGCCACCCGGGCCAAGACAGAGAAGCAGCGCAGCGACTATGCCCGCGAGCTGGAGGAGCTGAGTGAGCGGCTGGAGGAGGCGGGAGGGGTCACCTCCACCCAGATCGAGTTGAATAAGAAGCGCGAGGCCGAGTTCTTGAAGCTGCGCCGGGACCTGGAGGAGGCCACCCTGCAGCACGAGGCCACGGTGGCCACCCTGCGGAAGAAGCACGCGGACAGCGCGGCCGAGCTGGCGGAGCAGATCGACAACCTGCAGCGCGTCAAGCAGAAGCTGGAGAAGGAGAAGAGCGAGTTCAAGCTGGAGATCGACGACCTCTCCAGCAGCGTGGAGAGCGTGTCCAAATCCAAGGTGAGAGGGGCCAGGTGGGCAGGTCCAGAGAGGACACCCGCAGTGGGTCAACCTAAGGCCGCCTGCAGACCTCCCTCCCACTTCCAATCCTCAGGCCAATCTGGAGAAGATATGCCGAACTCTGGAGGACCAGTTAAGTGAGGCCAGGGGCAAGAACGAGGAGACCCAGAGGAGCCTGAGTGAGCTGACCACGCAGAAGTCCCGGCTGCAGAGCGAGGCGGGTGAGCCAAAAGCCGGGATGCTTTGCGAACCAGAAGGCTTCCCTAGCAGGGGCACCACCTTTGAGGAGAGGGTGTTTTGTTTTGTTTCTGCTTTGCTTTATTTTGTTTTGTTTTAAAGACAGCATCCCACCCTGTAACCTCGACTGGCCTGGGACTCCCTATGGAGACTAAGCTGGCCTGGAACTTACAGAGATCTGCCAGCCTCCATCTCCGCAGCCCTGGTGTTTGGAACAGCCTCTTTCGTGGGTTGCTTCCTTTCTCCTGAAACATGTTTTTAGAAATCCCCCCGCCCTCCCCAGGTGTGGTGGTGCAGGCCTTTAACACCACAAGTCAAGTGGTTCTTTGCTGCAGTCACAGGCCAGTAGAGGAAGCAAAGAAACACGTTTTAGGAGACCCTTGGAACAGCCTGCTAGGATCATAAGCACCCTGCCCCCACTTCCCTTCTGACTCCTCTATACACTCCAGCTGTTCATATTCACCCAAGAGTCCAACTTCAACTTTCTAGAGGTGAAGCCCTAAGTGTTTTTCCTTAATGACACATCTGGAATCATCAACCACTGGGATAGGTGGAGAGGTGCCCTGGCGATGTTCAAATTCACGAAGGTTCTCTTAGGTTTTACTGGCAGGGGTCACTCTTGGCTTCCTGTAGTTTTCAGCAGTCTTTCATTAGGATGCCATTTCCTTTTCATGGACACACCTGTACTCTCTTAAGAAGAGGCCTCACCTCGTTACTTGTCCCCTACCCCAATGAGCACAATGTCTTACACATGGTGAGTGAGTGAATGAATGAATGAATGAATGAATGAGCTATTTCCTTCCTGACACAGGTGAGCTGAGTCGCCAACTGGAAGAAAAGGAAAGCATAGTATCTCAGCTTTCCAGGAGCAAGCAAGCCTTTACTCAACAGATAGAGGAGCTCAAGAGGCAGTTGGAGGAAGAGAGCAAGGTACCCTCGCTGAAGGATGCTTTCTTGGCCTCGTTTTCAAATGGCATCTGCAAAAATAAAAGCAAAACTGAAAAAAAAAAAAAAGCAACTTCTTTCAGCTGGGTGTGATAGCAGGACATACCTGGTTGGTGTGTCGTGCACAGTCCTAATCCACTGGGGTGTGTGTCCTTTGATTTTTTTTTTTCAGGCCAAGAACGCGCTGGCCCACGCCCTGCAATCCTCCCGCCACGACTGTGACCTGCTGCGGGAGCAGTATGAGGAGGAGCAGGAATCCAAGGCTGAGCTGCAGAGGGCGCTGTCCAAGGCCAACAGTGAGGTGGCCCAGTGGAGGACCAAATATGAGACGGACGCCATCCAGCGCACGGAGGAGCTGGAGGAGGCCAAGTAGGCGACTCTAACTAGAACCCTCAAGTGGTCTCATGGCTCAGCACATTGGCTTTAGAATGACTTGGGATGAACTTAAAGAACTTGTTTTATTACTAGACATTTCCCCATCCCGTGTGCATTGGCACAGTGCATTAAGACATCAACTTTGATCCTGGTTAGACCCGAGACAGGCCATTGATCACAGACTTTGAGTAAATGGGGGAGTCTCTTGGGGTTTATGTGCAGAGGCGCGTGAGCCACTCGGATTAAGGACTCCGGCTTGATGAGCAGTGATGCTTAAGAAAGTTGAAACTTAACAGTGTCTGCCTCCTTCTCATTTTCTTGCAGAAAAAAACTCGCTCAGCGTCTTCAGGATTCGGAGGAGCAGGTTGAGGCCGTGAATGCCAAGTGTGCTTCCTTGGAGAAGACCAAGCAGAGGCTACAAGGGGAGGTGGAGGATCTGATGGTGGATGTGGAAAGAGCCAACTCTCTGGCGGCTGCTCTGGACAAGAAGCAGAGGAACTTTGACAAGGTGTGAGGCAGCTCCATGTTGGCTGAACTCCTCAGCGTCGGGGTGTTGGGGGCTGAGGGAGGGAGAGGTCGGCTCCCTCCTCTGCCCTACTCCAGTACTGTCTTAGAAAGAGCCTTGAAGGTCACCAGGGTGTTGTTTCTCCATCTGTGATGTGGACCGGGATAGGATGGGGCAGAAGCCCCTTCAGGTGATGGTTAGTAGCAGTGAACCAATTTCCACAGTGCTTTTAAGGACAAGATCTTTTTCATCTGCTCACATTACCCATCTCTTTAGGTGGCTGGCATGAGACTCAGACTTGGGTTCCTCCCTGTGACCCACAAGTGTGATTTGAACCAATGTTTTAATGAAATACTTGGGAAGTTCAGGACCTTTTTTTTTTTTTTTTTTTTTTTTTTTTTTTTTTTTTTTTTTGTATTAGGAAAGGGATGATTATGTATAGCTAATTTCCTCCCTAAGAATTCATTTGCTTTTTGGATAGACAATAATCACTGATTGATTATCCCAAGTAAGGTAGCAGAATGAAACCTTAATTTGTTTAGTAATCTAGACAGGCAGACAGGTGGGAGCCCTAACTCTGAGAGCAGTCACCCCAGTGGTGATATTCTGTTAGGAGCTCGGCAGAGAGCTCACTAACAGAGCCTTCCATGGCGATGTTGCAGGTGCTAGCTGAGTGGAAGACCAAGTGTGAGGAGAGCCAAGCAGAGCTGGAGGCAGCTCTCAAGGAGTCCCGATCCTTGAGCACGGAGCTCTTCAAGCTGAAAAATGCCTACGAAGAAGCCTTGGATCAACTGGAAACCGTGAAAAGGGAGAATAAGAACTTAGAACGTAAGCATTGCAAACCGGTCTAGGATCATGGGAAGCCCTTCCTCTTACCTGTCCTGACCAGAGTGTGAGGGTTGGGTGAGACTCCATTACTCAGGCTCCTCCACATGGGTCCCCTGATGCACCTGGAGAAAGTGTTCACTGTTGACAAGCTGGTGTTTCAAGGCTCTCTCTACAGTGTCTTATCTCTGGGAAGCAGAGGTCTGTAGAGTTATAGAAGATTAGCAAAAGGCATTGAGTGGGTTCCCTGTGCAGAAGTGTCCAAATGCACTGGGAAATTTAATTTAATTGCAGAAGAGATAGCGGATCTCACTGAACAAATTGCGGAGAATGGTAAAAGCATCCACGAGCTAGAGAAATCCAGAAAGCAGATGGAGCTGGAAAAGGCTGATATCCAGATGGCACTGGAGGAAGCAGAGGTGAGCGTGAGTGGGGAGGCAAAAACCAGAACTGAGGAAATGGCATGGGCCTAGGGGAGAGATGGTCACACTTCGCCTTTGGGGAATCATGGTCCTAATGGTCGATCCTTCCCCATGACTGGAGGCCGAGTGAGATAGTGCCTCTGAGTTATCTTAAGTTTCTTGGAGAAAATCATTACATTAAAACAGTTCTACACCTGAAATTTTACAACCCCTTAGCTGAAGTTAAAACAGCTGTAAAGTGCTTCCTGCTTCTAATAAATAGGAGAGTGTAAACCTCTTTTGTGTCTGAGTGTATAATCATAAATGAATAATAATGAAATGTTTTACTTCTGCACTGAAGATAAGTCGGAGATTTCATTTAAAGGCAGTTTTGATTATTATGGGATTTGATTTAGGAATATCTCATTGGAGCTTTGCTGACCCAAGGTCATGTGGTCAGCTCTCCAGCAGCACAGGAACTGTTCCTTTTGGTTGTGTCTTTTAAAGGCAGCCCTTGAGCACGAAGAAGCCAAGATCCTCCGAATCCAGCTAGAACTGACCCAGGTGAAATCAGAGATTGATAGAAAGATTGCAGAGAAGGATGAGGAAATTGAGCAGCTGAAGAGGAACTACCAGAGGACCGTGGAGACCATGCAAGGTGCCCTGGACGCTGAAGTGCGCAGCAGGAATGAGGCCATCCGGCTCAAGAAAAAGATGGAGGGCGACCTCAATGAGATTGAGATCCAGCTGAGCCATGCCAACCGCCAGGCTGCAGAGACCCTCAAGCACCTCCGGAGTGTCCAGGGACAGCTGAAGGTGGAGGGAGCTCCCTGGGGTGGGGAGACTTTTCCAGATATGCAACGGCTAGGTGAGGCTTCTGGTCCTTGGCCCTCCACTTCAGACACTTTGTCTTCTGGCTAGGACACCCAGCTGCATCTGGATGACGCTCTCCGGGGCCAGGAGGACCTGAAGGAGCAGCTGGCGATCGTAGAGCGAAGAGCTAACCTGCTGCAGGCTGAGGTGGAGGAGCTGCGGGCCACGCTGGAGCAGACAGAGAGGGCCCGGAAGCTGGCAGAGCAGGAGCTGCTCGATTCCAATGAGAGGGTGCAGCTGCTGCACACCCAGGTGAGGACAGGATATGCATGGGGTACGAGGATCCACCCCAGACACGCCTGTATGACACTCCTTCCTCCTCCCCAGAACACCAGCCTCATCCACACCAAGAAGAAGTTGGAGACAGACCTCACACAGCTCCAGAGTGAGGTGGAGGATGCCTGCAGGGATGCAAGGAACGCAGAGGAGAAGGCCAAAAAGGCTATCACTGATGTGAGGCTCTTGCTCCCCACCCCCCACAATGTGGCCACTGAGATTGTGCCTCATTAAAGCCCTTCCTTTTCTTAACCCTAGACATGCCCACTACAAGTCTACCCTCTTAGGACACACATGGTATACATGCTGCCCCCAGACCATTCCCATCTCCCATCAAACTCACCTGTCCCCTCCTGTACTGTTAAAAGCTGGCAGAGGGGGAGAGGCAGGGTGGGAGTATACTGTTCTTCTGCCTCTAAAGAGGTGTGTCCTGCCGGGCGGTGGTGGCGCACGCCTTTAATCCCAGCACTCGGGAGGCAGAGCCAGGCGGATCTCTGTGAGTTCGAGGCCAGCCTGGGCTACCAAGTGAGTTCCAGGAAAAGGCGCAAAGCTACACAGAGAAACCCTGTCTCGAAAAACCAAAAAAAAAAAAAAAAAAAAAAAAAGAGGTGTGTCCTTTCATTTGGTGCCTGGAAATGAGACCCTCTGAGGCACTATCCCATCACATCTCTAACCTTCCTGGGTCTCCAGGCTTTGTTTCTGGTTCTATAGCGCCAATGGCGCCACCTGCTGCCTTCTCAGGGAACACCACCTCAGTGCTGTTACACTTTCACAGGGAAGTAAAGAAGGAATACCAATTCCCTACTCCTTGAGTACCTTCCTTGTGCAATTCTAGGTAGCAAGTTAATCTCCTCCAAGCCTCAGGAGCCTTTGAAACTGTGTGGTGGTGATAATAAAACAAAGACTCCCTGAGGTCTGGACAGGCTCCAAGGAGACCAGTTTCAGGACCCTGCTTCTCACCTAGTCCTCATAGAGTTTCTTTTCTATATCTTATATCCCAGGTGTAGCTTTTGTGCTGTTCCAAGGTGAGAAGTGTATTCACTCATGGTCTTACCCATTGTCCTTTCTGCAAGCATGCTTTCTGGTCATGCTTTTCTGGAATGCTGGTTTCCACAGCTGCAGGGTGAGCCTTCCCTAACACACTTGGCTTTTCAGGCCGCCATGATGGCGGAGGAGCTGAAGAAGGAGCAGGACACCAGCGCCCACCTGGAGCGGATGAAGAAGAACCTGGAGCAGACGGTGAAGGACCTGCAGCACCGTCTAGACGAGGCTGAGCAGCTGGCGCTGAAGGGCGGCAAGAAGCAGATCCAGAAACTGGAGACGCGGGTACTTACTTGCAGGGAGAACCCGGGTCAGGCCCAGCTTCCCAGCCTACTGCACTCAGGGAACAGCTCTAGAATAATGTCCCAAACATCTCCCCAGATCAGAGAGCTGGAGTTTGAGCTGGAAGGGGAACAGAAAAGGAACACGGAGTCTGTGAAGGGCTTGAGGAAGTATGAGCGTCGGGTCAAGGAACTCACGTACCAGGTAGGTGGAAAGAACACCTAATGTGAGTTTTCTCTCCAAGGTGCAAATGGCACAAAAAGTCTGGAATAGGATGGAACACTTGCACTCCCCCACCCCAGACTGGCTAGGCCGTGGTACAACATTGCCCTTCTCTAGTGACATCCCCACGTTCTCATTTGCAGAGTGAGGAGGACAGGAAGAATGTGCTGAGATTGCAGGATCTTGTGGATAAACTGCAAGTGAAAGTCAAGTCCTACAAGAGGCAGGCTGAGGAGGCTGTAAGTTAGATGTTTGTGTGACCCGGCCCGTTTCCCACAGGGAACCCTGAGAGAGGGGCATGCTGATTTCACCCACTGGGCTCTTTGCCTAATTTAGGATGAACAAGCCAATGTTCATCTCACCAAATTCCGGAAAGCCCAGCATGAGCTGGAGGAGGCCGAGGAACGTGCTGACATTGCAGAATCGCAAGTCAATAAACTGCGGGCTAAGACCCGGGACTTCACCTCTAGCCGGGTAAGCAGACCTGGGAATTAATTGCTCACAGAGATGCAGAGGTTTCTGAGCTAGAAGTTGCTGTAGGGAATCCTCAACTTCCAGCCGGAGAATCTCAAGCTCGGAGAAAAAACTTTGTTTATAGTCACTAACCTGGGTGGAATCCCTAACTAGTCACTAACTAGAATTCCCGTCTGTAGCTCACAATAAAAACAAAATAAAACAAACAAACAAACAAACAAAAAAACCTTCCAGAAAACAGATGAATCATAGTCCACTGAGATGTCTTTCAGCGCCCTCTGCTGGTATGAGCGAGGCTGTTCAGGAGCACCCTCTAGAGGTGGCTGTAGGTGTCTGCAATGACTGTGACTCAGGCCCCATTGCTGCTCCCAGAGGAGGTCTCTCTGCGGACCAGTTTCAGAGGCTGTGGAGCGATTTCACCTGGGCTGGCATACATCCTCCCAAGGACCCCCAAATTCTCTGCATCCCAGTGAAATATACAAACAAATCCTTAATGCTTGCGGGAAGAGGGGTTCGGGAAATGTCTCTGCTGCTTGGCTTGACTGAGAGCATCCACATTCTCTCCAGATGGTGGTCCACGAGAGTGAGGAGTAAGCGAGCCCTCCTGACACAGGGCAGAAGATATGCAGAATGTGTATTTTCACAGCTCCTGACAACAGACCTTAGTTTCCACGTGACTCTTTTCCACATGCAATAAAATTGGCCTTGTTTTCAAGTCGGGCTGTTTTGTCTTGTGCGTTTCCCTCTTCCCCACATGGAAATGATTCCTCTTTCGGCGAGTGTTTTTATGCTGAATACTGAAGTATCAGTAAGCAGATAGCTTGGTAGATTAAAATGGTAAATTTGTGTGTATGGGGGTGGGTGGGTTGGCTTTTGGTTTAAATTTGAGATTAAAAATTTTTAAACACTTCTAACTTAAGCGTTGCTTCAGTGTAGTTGGGAGAGAGAGAGAGAGCTTTACGAAACTCATCTATTAATATCCCGTAAGAGAAACACAAAGGTTGGGTTCAGGAACACCTTGTTTCAAATTGGGTAGGATTCCTCTCCTACACATTTACTAGGGAAATATATCTTGAATCTAGTAAATAACGGTTGGACTCCATACATGATATAAATAAACATCATAGTGTTTGGTCCTCTCACATACACAAGGCTCTGGGTTCAGTCCTCAGCCACTGTAAATGCGGTTTTTAAAAAATAAGGAAAGAAAACGACTTCAGTCTGCATCTCCCACTAAATCCCGTTATCTTGGGTGCAATCTGCCTTATTTTCAGAGCTGAACAAACAAACCACTCATACATCACCCAGGTGAACCTGACTTTTACCCAAAGAGGACAAATGTTGAGAAAATCAGAATAACCCTCATGCTGATCAACCAGCAGTGCAGAATGCTCTAACCAGAGACCAACTCAACAGGTAGATCGTCCTGAGCACACTCATCAGAAAGGGTTGCCAGGCCCCTTTCCTTACTGAGGGCTAGAAAACTCTGGGATGACCCAGTTTGACTCAGGTGGGAAGTAAAGGCCAGAGAGTTTTTAACAGTGCTCCAGACCAAGTCAGCACCTCTTGGAGTTTGCAGTTACGGAAGGCAGGAGGCCGCTATTCTGCCCGGGTTTGTCTTTTTGGTGATGCCCAGTCATTTCGTCTCTAGGAACATGTGGTTTTGATTTGCCTTCAGTACTTCATGGCGACACCAGGGCTGAGAAGGGCCATGCCTTCCAAGGCAACTGTTACTAAGGAGTCACTGCACTGAGAAAAGGTCTCTTCCACGGCCTGACCTGGGGTGGGGCCAGAAGAGCAGTGGTCACTCCCATCCTCTCAGAAGTTAGGAAGGGTGCTGCACACTGCCTTCCGTGGGAAGCAGCAGTGGAGACGGCAAAGGAGGCCTTGTTCCCAGGGAGTCTAGGTAGTGAGCGCAGAAGAAATGAGAGACCTGGGCTATCACAGTTTTCACATAAAGTAGGAGTCCTTAATGAATTGCTACCAGACAGAGGAAAAGATAAGGCTGCCAGACATCCTCTGCCACCCCAAACAAGGGCATGGGCACTGTTGCTTGCAAAGATTCCCAATCAACAGTCTACACCGGGTCTAGATGGGATTACTACCAATTCAGGGAATTCAGGGATAGAAGATGTAACCAATAAATCCATATTATAGGGAGCTCATCTGAACAAATAATAGGGTTTAAAAAATAAATGTAGTGCATGCAAAAATACAGAATAGTAAGGAGACCTATACATTAGGTGAGATTTAACAGGCCTATAAGCCAATTATACTGTAAGGATTTTTAAAAATTTAATATTATGGTCTATTAAAAAATTATTGAGTGTGTATGTGTGCACACGTACACACACAGATGCATGTGTCTATGTGTACTAAAACATGTGTGGAGGTCAGAAGACAACTTGTGGGAGTCAGTTCTCCTCCACTATGTGGGCCTTGGGGATTGAACTCAGGCCACCAAGCTTGGCGGCAAGTGCCTTTACCTACTGAGTCATCTTGCTGGTCCAAGAAGTTGTTGCGACTGGATTTGTATGAGCGTGTGTTTAAGCATAGAGGCGCACCCTTGATAGTAACTATTCCCCTTCCTCCTTAGGGGAGAGTCTGCCACTGTGATCCTGTTTCGGAACCAGTCCTTGCTTTTTACAAGTCCATGCTATGACATTTATAGATGAGAAAGGAAGGGAACATGAGCAAGGTTTGCCTGAAGTCAACGAGCTGACAGAACTGACGGATTCACCAAAGAAGCTCCTGATGTGTCAGATGCAGGATGGACACACACACACACACACACACACACACACACACACACACACACACCCCTGATCGTCTCTGAGGCTGTGGGATCTGTCTTGCCCACTCACCAGTGAAATGTGGCATTTCACACAAAAGCACATTTTGTTTCTGGAAGCCACCCTGGTGCTAGGCAGTGATTTTGTGAAGGATATAGGTAGGGGAAAAAAAACATTTTTCTGAGAGTTACAATTATCGTGAATTTTTTTTCAGTTTCCTTATTCCACAGAGTAAGGGATGCCCTCAGTTATAGATGACGTCAGCCCTGTTAGTGAACAGAGGAAAAAAGAGAGCAGAAGTCTCCTTCCAAATGAGGAGCAGCCATGCCACACAAGCCTGAGAGGGGCAGCTCGCTCTGGCAAGGGAGACCAGGATGAAGTCAGCCACTATTACTGAACTCTTACAGTGTGTACGCAGGCACTTTCTCACATCATCCTGTGAAGAGGCACCGGTGACGAGATGGGCCTTGTTATACTTGCTGACTTCACAAGAAGAGAAGACACATGGTGACCAGGTTCAAAATGGCAGAGCTGAGGCTGTCTTTAGATTCCAAGGCCGCTTTTGCCCTGCAAAAGTGCTCCTAGAGGAGCAGCAGCCATATCCTCAGGGGGACCAACCCAAGGAGGAGGGGGCTGATGAAACCAGAAATGGGCTTGTTTCTTTCTGATGCTGTTTCTGTTCACTACTCCAGGCACTACACAGTGAGCCTTCTGTAGCTCAGCAGTGCGCTGCACCCCGTCCTTGAACTCTCCCTCACACAGACCATTGGGTCATTCACTGGAACATGATGGCCATTAGCCCATTTGTGACACTTGCTGCTTTTGCATGAACCCCGGATCACGACAAGGAAGAGGCTGGGGGCGTCTCCCCCGCCAGCTTTTTTTTTCTTGGGTGGAGTCCCATTGTCTCTAAATTTTAAGGACTGTTTCTAATTGCTTTCCATTTCTCGAACAACCCCACTTTTCTATTATTTTTTTCTGGTAGCTGGGTAAAGAATTGATTTATTTTTTTTCCCCTGTAATCCTCATATGATCCAGAAACTTCTGACTTGCTGAGTTCTTTATTGAGTCTCAAATCTCCGAGCGGTAGATTTCTTCTATTTTTATTACCGTTTGTATTTTTTTTTAATTATAAAAGAACTATCTGTTCAAGAATAGGATTTTTAGAAGGCATGTCAAGTGTAAAGGGACTGCCAGCTGGGATGGATGGCAGACTTCTCTATTTGGAGTGGCCACAAGCTTGATTTATGATCGGCAGATGTCCCCCTCTTAAGGAACCAAGGGACTAGTTTCTAATAGAAGTAACATGTCCTTATGTGGGGAGATGGGGCCGCTTGCAGTCACCGGCAGCTGGTGAGGGTAGCTTTTCATTTCTCCACGCCTGGGTCACTCCAACAGCTGAGTCTTAATAAAGCAAATGGACCTCAGACTATGGGGGGAGCAAGCCTCCCAGAACACCAAGGCTTATTTGCACCCCTCCCTCTAATCCCGCTGCTAAAAACAGTTGCAGCCCAGAGAGGCTCCCAGAGCGCTTGTTGGATCTGAGCGGAGATCTGGTTACCCCAGCTATGCTGAGACATTCCAGAGGCTCTTGTGTCCTCTGCTGCAGGCCACGGGGGCCAGAAGCCCAGGATGGCACTGACTATTTTTATTCAAGATGGTTGTGCTATCTACGACAAGAAGCCCCCTCTTAAGGGCATGTTCTCACAACTGAGACAAGGTCCTCTTGGGGGAAGCTTGCTGGAGGTTTAGGTGAGAAAGTGACAGACACCCTAGGGCTCCCTCCACAGAGGATCCTGACACCCAACTTGCTAAGAGAAGATCCAACTTACATGAAGAAAATGGAGCACCACCATTTCCTAGGGCTTCCCAGTGAGCATATGGCACATAATCCTGTGGTACAAAGACAAATAAAAATACAGAACCTTGAACTCCAGGGACAGTAAACAGAAACTAAGTACCCAAGTAAAGATAAGAAGAAATGAACAGCCCCCCCCCAAAAAAAACCCCAACAACCCTTCATGCAGCGGATAATTAAGGGAACTGACAGGTGACAGAGCTCTACAAAGACCAAAAGAAAGGCTTTAGCCACACGCGAGGTGCTTTGTACACAGCAGGTACACCATGTCAAAGAGAACGGTGGGGAGAATATGCTGTCCTTTGGGAAGATCTGTTCTCTCTACTCCTATTTCCTGCCTCTCTCTTCCGACTCCCACATCAGCAAGGAAGAGAGAATACAACTCAGAAGCGTCTCTTTACCAATTTTGAGGCAGTCTTAACCCTGAACTCCATTCTCTTGGCTTCTCAAACAACAGGCCCCTGAAGCCAGGCTCAAGTATCGGAAAGGAGGCCTGGAGGGTGAGGTGCTGTCCCCTGAGAACCCCAGATGAGGCCAGCCCAATAAGCGTTGCTGCTAGGTGTTTTGGATCTGTGTTTTCACATGTCTCATCATTTACCAAGTGCCTTCTGTTACCCAGAACTGGGAAATAGGAGCAGAAATCCCTTGGACAGTGAGAAAGAAGAAGAGGAAGAGGAACCACGTCTTAAACTCTCAGAGAGGGGAGGGCAGGTGGATGGGAGGAGAGACATACATTTCCAAACATGGGTCAGCCTCTGGCCTGGGTGAGATGAGCATGTACAGCAGCTGCACCTATTCTGGGCCTGAGATCTCTGTCCGGGGCAACAGGTGTGAAGACCTAAGATATCTTGGCACATTCCCAGTGGCACAATTCAGTCTTCCAAAGACTCATTTTCAGCTGGAAAGATACAGGTCTCCCTTTTCTGTTTTCCCAGGGCCCACCAGCCTTGGGGATCCAGGGCTCATCGCACAGGTAGTGACTCGTGGTTTCGGGGACTCACACACGTTCATCCTCCTCTGAGCTGATGAGGATCGAAGTACATGTTAATCACAGTCTGTGCCCAG